AAATATAATAATATAAATTTTTATATGTATTTATAATTAATTTATATAAAAAATTATAAAAATTAATATTTACGTAGATGATTTTAATTTATTAATTAATTAATTTAAAGTCATTTTTTTATAATCTTTATATAAATTAATTAAAAAATTACATGTATTGTACATTTTATATGTGAAAAATCCCATTAATATGCTATAAGTCAGAGGTTAGAAATATTATAATTACATTTTGAAACAAACATACTCGAACCCGTGTTTCCTCCGCAACAGGCTAGGGGACAAAGCAATAGAAACACTGCACCTGATATGTCAAATTGTTACATAATCTTATATTTCTTGCGGCAGGATTATGTAAAGAAAGCAAGTGTTATGTGATTAAGATTGATGGGCTCATATGAAGCAACTGCAAACCAGGGTAGAAATTCGACACGGGTATAGTATCGATACATAATTTTGGTGTCGACACAATATGGCAAACGTTCAAAACTCCGACACGGACATAGTGTTGACACATATCTTAAGGGTCGACACCATACGAAAGGTTACTCCACTCATGTAATATGATGCCTTTCAAGTTATGATATTTATGGATTTAAAGTACCCCTTGTACTCCGTTCATTAATAAATATTATTTTTTTCTGTTCAAAAAAAGAAAAACATAATCTTATATTTATTCATATTTAATTAAACCATTGGTTTCAATGATTTAATCAATTAAACCGGTCAAACCAAGAACCAAAAAGAAAAATGATTTGACCTCCAAGGTGATTTTCAAAACACTAATTGATTGAATATTACGAAGTCGATACTTTAATATCTCATATCTTAATTAACTTATTTTAATAATGTTATTTTCTTATTATTATTTTCAATAAATTTTTTTAAATTGTTTAAATATATCTAAATTAATTATTTTTAATACTTAACTAATCACAATCCTTGTCATAAGTATTTGGGTGGAATGACTGCAGTGATGGGTAATTTGTCTATAACCATGCAAAACGAAATTGACAACTAAAGCTTACAATTCTGTGACATGCAGATAGCCATCATCTAGGGTTGTATTAGAGCATGAAACTCCAGTCCAATTGGATGTGCATGGATCTCCTCGATTCCAACTAGTCAAATTTTTATCGGGATCTGTCAAACTTCTCTTGATGGTTTGCAATGCGCTTACTGCAAATTGTACTAACATTAATTAATTCATCCAAACGAATGTTCTGATTTTGGAATATGAAGGAGTAAATCAAACCCCACAAGATCAAAGTATAAGCTACTGCTAGACTTTAAAAGTAATCGAGCCAAGGAAACTACATATGCTTGGTAGTATTTGCACATATGCATCACATCTCTCAAAAAGTACCTAAACATAGTCCTATTCTTAAGGCACAATTAACATAAACTCTAAGGCATTCTCTGAAAATAAAACAGCGAGAGGACAAATGGTGGAAGCTCAAGCGAAATCACCTTGTGGTTTCTATTATTGAATCAAGACACAAAAAAATAAAGCTACCTTCATCTGGATGAGTTATGGAACTTTGTGCTCCAACAAGCGCTGAAGACAGAAAGAAGCAGCCCAGAAGGACACAGAGTTTTGTTTGGACATCCCAAGATAGCAGAGTTTACCAGAGTTGTGAAGCATCTCTGATCACTAGACACACAACCAGAAATGGGAGTCTGTCTTTCAGCATAAGAAGAAAGCAACGAAGACTGAAAATTTAACCCCTTTTTTTCATCGGAAAAAGAAAAACAAATTTAGTTTGTATTCATTCAGATAAATGCAAAATTCCTGTGTGAGACAGCAGCTAAAGAGACAATGAAGCATTGCTATATATAATTGTAAAAGAAATAGCAAGGAGGTTTGGGAAGATAAAAAGAAAATAAAACATTACGCTGTAGAAAGATAAAATTGTAGAGATGAGAGGAGAGGTTCTGCAACATGAAATGAAAATGAGAAGATATATAATCGAAGTCTGAGTCTGACCTGGTCATCCATGCATGAAGAAGATATAATCTTTTTTCTTCGATTTTCATAGAGTATATTAGAAACTTACTGAATTAAAAGGAGGATTTTGACTTTTCGCAATTTAATAACTTGATTTTTGTGGGAATTGAAGCTGATAAAAGCTTTCAATTTAACAAGGAGGATAGAAAGTCTCAAAAGTCTCGCGACATGAGATGACCACCTCCCATAATAAAAAGCAATCTCTTTATTGGTTTGTTGTTTCAAGTCTCTGTAGCGTGTAATCAAAAAATAAAAAAATATTTAAAAAATTGTCGAGGATGATGATGGCCATATCTACTGTTTTCACCCCATCACAAATAATTCATCCAATTTTAATTCTTGAGATTCTAAAATTTTGAAAGGCTGCTTTCAGCTTCTCTTGATGGGCTTGGTAATTGACTTCCTGCGGCCCTGTTAAGTTATAGCTATCATGGTAACGGTGAGGGACAATTGCTGTCTAATTCCTGTGGAGTCACTCTCTATATTTATGGATTTTTTTTTTTTTGATAAGGCCAATGATTAATAAGTTAGTATTGTTAGATGTTAACAACTGAGGATTCGATCCTCAGATCTGATGAACAGCTCACCGACCTCAATGAGGCGCGTGACCATCAGGTCACTTGATAGAGTTTAGTTGGGTTAGCCATGCCGTACGTTCTCCAAAACATGAGCTTTGAAAATTGTAATTGGTGATGATTTTTTTCAATGAACAATCAAAATATTACATAAGCATGATTAGCTATTACCTAAGCTAATAGTAAGCTAATAGTAAAAGATAGGCCTAGGCTCACTCTATGTAATCCATTATTGATTATTCCACTATCCACCTAGCTTTTCTTCGGCCCGGATTGTGCTGGAGCCTGGAGGACTTTTCCTGGCCCACCTACCTTGATCACTTCACTCGTCTTCAGTTAGAGGCCCAGTTACCTTTCAACAGAGTGCCCAGGAATAAAAACATCATCCATTCCACACCACACCTCTCTCTCTCTTAATTTCAGCTCGTAAAAATTGGATATTGATGTTTTTTCAAAAGGCACCCACCCAACTCAAGTCGCGGTTTGGAATTGGAATTGGATGCTACTTTTTAAAAATTTTAGTTTAAACCCAGCAAGGCCACTAATACAACTACCACTAGTAGCCCACACACCCCTTTTCAAATTTCTCTCATTCTCAACAAAGTTTGAACATGAAACTTTTATTGTGTTTAAAAAGCCTCCACTCCAGCTCACTTCTTCATTCATTCTTTTGAATCACGTTGGGTGCCATAATACACTACCTAATTTTATCTGTCCTTCATCTATTCAATTCTCAGGACTTTATGTCCCACTTTGTAGCTTTTATTTTATTTAGAATGTTGCAAACCATTATGCCAAAGAAATTTTCAAAAACAAAATTCATGACCAGCAAAGATATTATTACTACTAATTATTTTGTTCCTACTCAAAATTATCATATTTCGACCCAAATTCAAATCCCTCAAACCACAATCATGTTCCAAATTTAATAGAGCACTACAATAGGTTGTGTTGTGCAACTAAGAATGATTGGATTGGTAAATATTTTTCCAACTCAGTTTTGCTCCTCTTCTGCCCGGTCCCTTTCTGACTTAATTTCTTATATCTTTTCCATAATTTTTAATTACTGTGCAGAAGAGAACAAAAGAAATTCTTTATTTCTTTTGAAAATTTTAATTACTGTATCTATATAAAATGGAAGATAATTAAATTAAAAGAATGGAGGTTGGGATATCATCCTCATGTCATGAAAAGATTGAACTTTTTTAGTTGGGAAGTGGAAGCATTTTGAAAAGAGTTTTAAGGTTAATTATAATAATAATTAAATAGATTAATAAATAATTAAACTAACAAACTATTAGTCTGAGTGAAAGGAACTTAATTTCCCTTAAATAAAATCTCGAGTTCAAGTTATGTGAATGAAGAAACAAACGCTTGAAGGGTTTCTCCCTAATGAGTCCAACGCGACTCGATTCTGGATTATTCAAAATTCAATATAATTATCGGATACCGAAAAGTTAATATAAAAAAAAAAAAACTAGGATGTTATTTGGAAGCATGGAACTAATATAAAATTGTCCCTCCGTTTTAAATTAATTCGGTGGAGTTGTTGGGGTGGTTGAATTATTTGATTTGGATACCAAAAATCAAACCCAATAATAATGGGATTAAGAGCCCTCATTTTTTGAATTGAAGATCAATGCAATTGCAATTCCAAAATAAAAGTTATTGCTATATATGTGCCCCCAAAGGAAAACTACAAACCCATTCATTTCCAATTTCTAATTAACATTTCAAAAAGCTTCTTCATTTTTTTTTGGCTTAAAGATGACTGCCTTTTTTGAGGATATATTAGTTGTAAATTAAGTCAGAGGAATCAGAAGGTACAGCTGTGATTTTAGACAAAAAAGGGCACAGATTCAATTCTTCTGCTTGTGAACTAATATGTGTTAGGTTTAATTATATGACCGATTTGATTAATATTTTATTTTTTTATGTTTTTTAGTAAATAAATTATTATGATATTTTAAAATATTATTTTATTAATTATTAATATGTTAAATAATAAATTTTAAATATCTTATTAATTATAAACTATTTTAAAAATTAAATTAAATTAAATTAGTGTTT